CAATACACATTTAATGCATTAGATAGGCTTTGGCCTCATTAATATGCTGCAGTTTTTGCATGCTCAAATCTTCCTAATTTTTGTCTGCCAGAAAAAAAAATTGTTCACAGAATGTTGCACCATTAGCCTGTCTCCTTAGCCCCTCACTCCAGAAAAAAACAACTTTATTTTCAAATGTATGCTTACGGCTCAGACAGTGAAAGCACTGAATGATCTGAGCTTCACAAAAACCTGCAGTACAAGAAGAGGATGCCCAGGGAGACATATAGTAAGGATGTCACTACCTGTTTATAGTTTATTTGACTGTAGTCAGGTTGAGCTGTGTGTATATATTTGATAAGGAAGTCTTCTTAGTAGAAGGCAGCGTCGCTAAGAAGACAGGCTTGCGGTGCAGCATTCAACAAAACAATTATACGAGGAAAACAAAAAGAATTAACCTAGGGCCAAAATTTAGATATCACAAGGTAGAGGGCACAAAAAAATGGTGAATATCATAGAGAATAAACAAAAAAAGAAACAAATGCCATTCTACCTGTGTATGATTTACTGAGAAGATTGTAGATTAAAAAGGATCTTTTAATAAATAAATCTAAAATAAAATATAAAAAATAAAAATAATATGAACAGCAGGAGTAAATGGAGACTATACAGCGAGTAAAACTCTGTCTGATCTATCTTTTTAACATTCAGTAAAATATAAAAAATAAAAAACCATAAGATTCAGGTCAACATAGGGTTAATTAGTCAATTATTTCTTAATGGTTGAGATTCCCTCCCCAAGCTACCATTGGTCAGAATCCTGAAAATCCTCCAATCAATTGAGAGCTTATGATTTAAATACTCCTATGTTTGCCAGCATCTGGTTCCCCTCTGATGAGCTTCACTGGCGAAACGTGCACGGACACTGGACACTTACTGACACATTATTGGTGTCGGCACCTAACTCTCTGCTTATCTATTGCTAAATTACCGACATCAAGTTCATTCATGTCCTGCATCTCAGGAGTGCATATTGGAGACTCTTAACACTAATTTTGTGTACTCTGTACATACTTTATTTCTCTTTCTTTTTCCTTTATTATGGTTATGGGGGGAGATTGATAAGACCAGGCATTTTATTAAGGGGTGCCCTCGAAGGCACAAGACTCAGGAATCTTTATTCTATATGCCTTCCTCTGTCACTGTCTGTATATTTTCTACTACCTAGGCAACCAGTTCAAAAAACTGTTTGTAAACCCTCTCTTTATACTTTGACCTATAATTTAGATGCAGCAAGCATTTAGGCAACTTGTGTGACTTTTAACCGGTAATATTTTCTACTACCTAGGCAACCTGTTCAAAAAACTGTTTGTAAACCCTCTCTTTATACTTTGACCTATTATTTAGATGCAGCTAGCATTTAGGCAACTTGTGTGATTTTTAACCAGTTAACTGCTGCCTGTCAGCAGTCGTTCACAGGTGAGCTACTACTTTGTGCTCCACTGTGGTCAAGCATAAGTTAACATCATTCAGTGCAGGCAGCTGTTGTTACACTAGAATATACTGCTAGGTATTTTGCAGAAAAAACGGAGCCAGGTCAGCAACCCCTTATTTTATACTTTACTGCTTGACAGCAATCTTTAATTTATTATCAAAATGCTGCTATGATCTAGGCAGCTTTTGTGATATTTAACTGGCTAATCGCCGTCTGTCAGAAATCTGTCTTAGCTGAACCATTATCTTTGATCTTTCTGAGGTTAAGCACCATAGAACATTATCAATTATTGTATGTGGAGTTAACCCATGTTGTTAGTTGTACTATCATGTAGGGATTTACTTATCCATATCTTTTAACTATTGACAGCACTGGTTTAGCAGTTGTCTTATCTCCCCCCCCTATTAGTGATATATAATATAGTATCACTTCTATTACTTGGGAATACACTGTTATATTGTAGCTAAACAGTATTGCTTCAGCATTAGTGTTATTATGTATACACTTTTACAGCTTGTATAAGTAGTCACAGAGTTTTACTCGCTGTATAGTCTCCATTTACTCCTGCTGTTCATATTATTTTTCTTTTTTATATTTTATTTTAGATTTATTTATTAAAAGTTACTTTTTAACCCCTTAAGGACCGAGGACGGTTCAGGACCGTCATCGGCATTTTTGCGTTGCCGACCGATGACGGTCCTGAACCATCCTAACGGTCAGAAGCATTTACCCGCGATCGCCGCCGCTCGGGCGGCGCATCAGCGTTATGCCTCCGTTGTGGGGAGACTGCCTGCAGCCCAGGCCACAGTCTCCCACGGTGCAGATTAGGGACCTTCTCAGGCCATGCGTGACGCTAACACAGCCATCACATGGTCACAAATAGTGGTGTCCATATATTGTGTTTGCAGGGGACTGCCTGTGCTGACAGGCAGCCCTGCTAGTGTAAAATCAGTAAAAAAAATAAAAGTTAGTGTTAATAAAAATAAAAATAATTATATATGTGTATATATGATATATAGACATATTATATCTATATGTAATATGTCTATATATCATATATATATAATGTTATATTTCAGTGTATTTTTTATACAATATGTACTTATATTAATATAAAATACACTTTATAATTAAATTACACACGTATATATATATATATATATATATATATAACTATATATATTGTATATATATATATATTATTATAAAATATAAATAATAAGTAATTTAAATTAAATAATTTTTTTTTAAATAATAATAAAAATTTAAAAAAAAATTATATATCTATATGAAATTTTATTCTAACTGTATTTTAAAATTAATATATATATATTTATATCAAAATACACTTAGAATGAATTTGTATATATATCTATGTATATAAAAATAAATAAAAACAATAAGAAATATACATATGTCCATATACAAAATTACATAAATAATTATATAAATATACACGTAGACTTCAAATATATAAATATGCATATATATTTAAATTCTACGTGCGTATTTATGTAATATTTTTACATAATTCAGTAATTTTACTGATTGCAATTTGAGGGACCTGCCTGCCAACCCAGGCCGAAATTCCAGAGAATTTAATTTGCTAGCACTGTATTTTACCCTGTAACGTTCTACGACACCCTAAAACCTGTACATGGGGGGTACTGTTTTACTCGGGAGACTTCGCTGAACACAAATATTAGTGATTCAAAACAGTAAAACATATCACAGCGATGATATTGTCAGTGAAAGTGACTTTTTTTGCATTTTTCACACACAAACAGCACTTTTACTGATGATATAATTGTTGTGATACGTTTTCCAGTTTTTAAACACTAATATTTGTGTTCAGCGATGTCTCCCGAGTAAAACAGTACCCCCCATGTACAGGTTTTATAGCATTTTTGAAAGTTACAAGGTCAAATATATGGGTCAAATATTTTTACATTGAAAATGGCCAGGTTGGTTACGTTGCCTTTGAGAGCGTATGGTAGCCCAGGAATGAGAATTACCCCCATGATGGCATACCATTTGCAAAAGAAGACAACCCAAGGTATTGCAAATGGGGTATGTCCAGTCTTTTTTAGTAACCACTTGGTCACAAACACTGGCCAAAATTAGCGTTCAATTTAGTTTTTTTACTTTTTTCACACACAAACAAATATGAATGCTTACTTTGGCCAGTGTTTTCGACTAAGTGGCTACTAAAAAAGACTGGACATACCCCATATTGAATACCCTGGGTTGTCTACTTTAAAAAAAATATTTACATGTGGGGTGTTATTCAGAGATTTATGACAGATAATAGTGTTACAATGTCACTATTGATAAATTTTAAAAATGTATGTTTTGAAACCGCAACATCCTACTTGTACCTATAGCCCTATAACATGCAAAAAAAAGCAAAAAAGCACGTAAACACTAGGTATTTTTAAACTCAGGACAAAATTTTGAATCTATTTAGCAGTTTTTTTCCATTCGCTTTTGTAGATGAGTAAAAGATTTTTCAAGTAAAAGTCAAAAAACATGTATTTTTTTCAATTTTTCATCAGATTTTTGTATTTTTTTTAAATTAAAATACATGAGATTATATAAATAATGGTATGTAAAGAAAGCCCCTTTTGTCCTGAAAAATACAATATATAATTTGTATGGGAACAGTAAATGAGAAAGCGGAAAATTACAGCCAAACACAAACACCACAAAAGTGTAAAAATATGCCTGGTCGCAAATGTACAACATCGCAAAAACAGTCCAGTCCTTAAGTTAATCTACAATCTTCTCAGTAAATCATACACAGGTAGAATGGCATTTGTTTCTCTTTTTTGTTTATTCTCTATGATATTCAACAAAACAATTACTTTTATTTGTGCAAAAATCTAAAAATTTGAGCATGCAAAAACTGCACCATATTAATGAAGCTAAACCTACCAAATGCATTAAAGTTGTGATGGTGCATAGAGTGTCCCTTTAAATGAATACAAATACCAAAACAATGCATGTCCTTTGCATGGGTTATGGCGAAAGTGGTTCTTGTGCATCATTTTCCCTAGACATTTGCAAAACTGGTTACACATCACTGGAGAAAGATAACAGATTATTAATTTTTTCTCTCACCTCAGTACTTACATAGGGTGCATATGCTGTACAAGAATCTACCTAAGCTAACATAGAATATGACGGCAGATAAGAACCATTCGGCCCATCTAGTCTGCCCAATAATTTTTAAATACTTTTAATTAGTCCCTGGCCTTATCTTAAGTCTAGGATAGCCTTATGCCTATCCTACGCATGCTTAAACTCCCTCACTGTGTTAACCTCTACCACTTCAGCTGTAAGGCTATTCCATGCATCCATTACCCTCTCAGTAAGGTAATACTTCCTGATATTATTTTTAAACCTTTGCCCCTCTAATTTAAGACTATGTCCTCTTGTTGTGGCAGTTTTTCTTCTTTTAAATATAGTCTCCTCCTTTACTGTGTTGATTCCCTTTATGCATTTAAATGTTTCTATCATATCCCCCCCTGTCTCTTCTTTCCTCCAAGCTATACATGTTAAGATCCTTTAACCTTTCCTGGTAAGTTTTATCCTGCAATCCATGAACCAGTTTAGTAGCCCTTCTCTGAACTCTCTATAAAGTATCAATATCCTTCTGAAGATACGGTCTCCAGTACTGCGTACAATACTCCAAGTGAGGTCTCACCAGTGTTCTGTACAATGTCATGAGCACTTCTCTCTTTCTACTGCTACCGCTCTCCCTATACAACCAAGCATTCTGCTAGCATTCCAGCTGCTCTATTACATTGTCTTCCTACTTTTAAGTCATGTGAAATAATTACTCCTAAATCCCTTTCCTCAGATGTTGAGGTTAGTAGGGTATCAAATATCCTATACTCTGTCCTTGGGTTTTTATGTCCAAGGTGCATTATCTTGCACTTATCCACATTAAATGTCAGTTGCCACAGCTCTGACTATTTTTCTAGTTTACCTAAATCATTTGCCATTTGGCTTATCCCTCCTGGAACATCAACCCTGTTACATATCTTTAATATCATCAGCAAAAAGACATACCTTACCATCAAGACCTTCTGCAATATCACCAATAAAAATATTAAAGAGAATGGGTCCAAGTACAGATCCCTGAGGTACTCCACTGCTTACTAGACCTTGCTTCGAATATACACCCTGTTCCAAATTATTATGCAAATTCTATTTAAGTGTCACAAAGATTAAATATTTTGTTTTTCAGTTTAACTCATGGATGGCATTGTGTCTCATGGCTCTTTTGATCACTGAAAACTATCTCGGACACCTGTGATAATTAGATTGCCAGGTGAGCCCAATTTAAGAAAAAACTACTAAAGGAGGGTGTTCCACATTATTAAGTAGAGCACCATTTTCATGCAATATGGGGAAGAAAAAGGATCTCTCTGCTGCCGAAAAGAGTGAAATAGTTCAATGCCTTGGACATTAGATATTTCACGAAAACTTAAGCGTTATCATCACACTATTAAGAGATTTGTGGCTGATTCAGAGCACAGACAGGTTCATGCAGATAAAGGCACATTGAGGAAGATTTCTGCCAGATCCATGCATTGGATCAAGAGAGCAGCTGAATAAAATACCATTACATAGCAGCAAACAGATATTTGAAGCTGCTGGTGCCTCTGAAGTCCCACAGACATCAAGGTGTAGAGTCCTCCAGAGTCTTGCAACTGTGCATAAACCTTCTATTCGGCCACCACTAACCAATGCTGTGACGAGACCAATCTCGCCACTGTGCATTGGAGGAGCCTGGTTGCCCGCCTGCTGCCTTTAGTCTATAGCCCCATGTTGAAACGCTTGATTTTCCCCTGCGAAGACATGAAAGCCGGGTCATTTGGTGCTTGCCCTGTTTGAGTGGTGATACCCCAGATAGCTATGCCATGGAGCCCATTCGTATAATGAAAGACTATGGGAAAGACTTTGGCTCCATGGCAGTTGAACTGTATGTGTGTGCTCTGAGTGCCATTCAGTAATAATGTGCGCTCAGATCTGAGCTATCTGGGGATATGTTGAATGTACCTGTTTTGTGCAATGGCTGCACAGTTATGTTTTATTGTTTTTTGCTGCCATGTGTTCAATGGAGTTTTGCTTCTGTCTTTGGAGATAATTGGATTACTTCCCAATTATCTCCAGGATAGAAGACTCTGTGGAACTGGTTTGGGGTAGAAAAGCCATGCTTCCTTTGGTCACAAAGGACTACGATCTATCTTTTGAACCATCGGACCAATTTGTATGAATTTGACATATGTTTGTATTTGGAGTATGCTGATTCTGAAAATGTGAATGTGATGCATACTTTTCAAGTTATGAATAATGTGGAAAAATTGTATTTCTCTGCTTGTGCTAATTACATTACCCATTGTGTAAGGTAATTGAATCACAGGCAGAGGGGAGGAATTTGTGTGGGAGTGTCTGAGTGTATTGTATGTGTTTACTGGTTGTGTTCCAAAACCCTGTGGGTGGTACTAATGTGTAAGAATGTGTACATAAGCACAATAAACCCACAGCTCTGTCTGTTCACTGCTTGATTCTCAACACAGAGCTTTGTCTCGTTCTTGGGGGGATTTATTGTATGCTGTTCCAGTTCGACTGCTAGGAGTGTAAACCTATTCGTATGGTTTTTCCTATTCGGCTGTTTACGGCATTCATATGGTTTCCTGTTTGGCGGATTGGTGTTCTGCAGTAGCTGTGCCTGTGTCTCTGGAAGGGAAGATCTACTAAACGGCGGTTTAACCCTTTTATGCCTTGGGGTGCCGTTACAAATGCTCACAAGCAGAAATGGCTGCATTGGGCAGAAAAATACATGAAGACTAATTTTTGAACAGTCCTGTTCACTGATGAGTGCCGTGCAACCCTGGATGGTCCAGATGGATGGAGTAGTGGATGGTTGGTGGACGGCCACCCTGTTCCACCAAGGCTGCGACCTCAGCAAGGCAGTGGTGGAGTCATGTTTTGAACCGGAATTATGGGAAGAGAGCTGGTCGGCCCCTTTAGGGTCCCCGAAGGTGTAAAGATGACCTCTGCAAAGTATGTGGAGTTTCTGACTGACCACTTTCTTCCCTGGTACAGAAGGAAGAATTATGCTTTCCGTAATAAAATCATCTTCATGCATGACAATGCACCATCTCATGCTGCAAAGAATACCTCTGCATCAATGGCTGCTATGGGGATAAAAGGAGAGAAAGTCATTGTTTGGCCTCCATCCTCCTCTGACCTCAATCCTATTGAGAACCTTTGGAGCATCCTCAAGCAAAAGATCTATGAGGGTGGGAGGCAGTTTACATCCAAACAGCAGCTCTGACATCTGGCTATTCTGACATCTTGCAAACAAATTCAAGCATAAACTTTCCAAAAACTCATAAGTTCAATGGATGCAAGACTTGTGAAGCTGCTATCAAATAAGGGGTCCTATGTTAAAATGCATGACATGTTAAAATGTTTAAAAAGTTAAAATGTTGTTATAAGTTTTATTGAAATAGCTTTTGATTTCAGTAAAAATGCTGCAAAAAAAACAAATGACAATTTTCAGTTCTTTACAACCTATAAAGTGTTTGGAAACTTACTGTGCGTAATAATTTGGAACAGTGCATTGTAAGTTTTTTATGTTTAAAAAAATACTGTTGGGGCATGGCTAACTGCCAAGCAAGATGGTCACATAGTTCCTTGCTCTGGCACATGAGCTTACAATCCGCTGCAATCCTAGCATCCAGAACCACTATATAACCAACAAACACCAACTATGTCTCACCACAAAGGCAGAACACAAGCTAGAATGGCTGAAAAGCTGAATTTCTTCAGCCAGAAAAACAGCCCTGGAGAACGGGCCTCGCAAGCTGAAATCCAAGATAGCACCAATACACCAGACGTGGATGACTCCTTGGCCGCTGAATCAGTGACTCAAACCTACCTGACACAAGCCCTAGAAGTGCTATCCAGCAAATTGATCTCAAGCTGGCAATCCTCGTTCAACACCCTGAGGCACGATATCCAGGATCTGGGGTCCAAAACATCTCACATGGAAAGCAAGCTAGACGAATGTGCCATGGCACACAACGATCTAGCGACCCACGTGGAAGAGAGAGAGCAAAAATAGTCCAGATACAAGCTAAACTCATGGACAATGAAGACAGGGCACGCAGGAACAATCTAAGGCTCCGAGGGGTCCCAGAAGAGGTGCAACCTGCTGACCTACCTGCGTATGCGAGAAGCCTGCTGCATGCCTATGCCCTAGAAATCCCAGCAGACATGATACTGGTGGACAGAATCCACCGGGTACCGAGACCCAATCACATGAAACGGTTCCACGAGATGTACTCCTCAGGGCCCACTACTATCACATTAAAGAACATGTCCTGAAATCAAGCCGTAACGCAACTCAACCCCTAAAGAACTACTCCAGTGTTAAAATATTTGCTGACTTGTCGGCAGCAATGCTCAGCAAGAGAAGGACATTTGCTCCAATCCTGGAAGTGCTGAGAGACCAAGGCATAAGATACAGGTGGGGATTTCCCACTAAAGTGTTGGTGATCAAAGTTGGAGCCATTACAGCCATCCAGACACCAGAAGAGGGACGTAGGAGACTCCGGGAATGGAATCTGCCTGCCCCAAGAGTGGAGACACAAGGATCGCAGAAAGACAGGCTGTCGCTAGAATGGAGAAACGCGGCGCAGAGACGTTAAGAAGTTAAAGAGACTTGGTTATCTAATCGCAAGTATACCTTGCACCATATATGTGTTGAGTTAGTTAGACATTGTGATAATGCTTATGTAACCGGATAGTTGGGCCACAATCAGTGATATAGGACTCCCAGCCCAATTTCCATAGGCCACTCGGCGGAATAGCCGCGTTTTTAAGGTACGCAAAACATCATTGCCACGACACATAACTTAACCACTCAGGCCGGGCCCAACAGAGAGCATACTCGGAGTACCCCCCAATCTAGGGCAACATGTGTTACGTGGAGGCACACACACCTGCCCACCCCTACCGCACACCATCAGTTACCACATGTGGCAGTTAAAGAGGACACCAGGGGAGGGGGATCACACAGCTAGGAGTACACCCAGGGCCTAAGGGAAACCAGCCAAGCTGATTGAGCAAGGCTACACCCCAAGGCAACACAACCCGGGTGATGATATGACCCCTCAAAGCAGGGTGGGCAACTAAGGATGCCCCACTGTGAGCAATATCGCTACACCAGGGTCAGTTACGTGCATGAGCAAGGTTAAATGTGAAATGTTAAGTGATAAATGTTATATGTCCAGTATTGTCTGATGTTAGCATGATATAACTCAAACACACAATGTTACAACTGGGTTCTGGTTCCTTTCCCAAACAATGCCTCATAGAGCTCGTTAGCCACAAATATGGAGGTCGATAGCCTCCATCCCCCACGCATCCATACGGAGTGCCTTCACTTTACCGTGGCAGGTATCCCTGCGCACGGCATTTGTACATAATTTCTTTTCCTTTTCTCATACTTAGTCCTTGTTCTGGCCAACCCCCTAACCACACCCCATCCTTCCTCTGAGACAAGGGAGACGCACCCTAAACCTGAAACAAAACACAGCATCCATTGGGTACACTGCACAGATGGAAAAACACAGAGAGGTGGGCAGCATTGCTTGTTGCAAATGGGACATGCAGCGCCCTCTAATAGAACTCATTTGTTAAACCTAGCTCTGATATTCATAACAGGGTTTAGATCCCCATGAAGATTTATACACATAACGTAAGGAAACTCCTGGTAAAAAGACACCACCTGAGCAGAGAACTTGGTTTACAGAGAGTGGATGTTGTATGCTTACAGGAGACCCATTTCAAGAAGAATACACACCTAAAACTGTAGGGAATGCCCCCACCAGTTCCATGCTACCTCCCCAACAAAGGCAAAAGGAATGTCTATACTGATTAGCAGACATGTGGCGTTCACACCCCACTCACATGCACTAGATAGGGAGGGCAGATATGCAATGGTCATAGGCACGCTTAACGGAATACTGTATACTATCGTCAACATTTATGCACCCAACTCTGAGCAAAGAAACTTTCTTCTCACCAAAATCCTCACCACAATAGTAGAAAAACAACAGGGCATTACGGTAATATGCGGAGACTTCAATCATGTCTTAGATCCATCTATGGATACCATTCTCCCTGCACACAGTCCCAGACTCAGACCCTTAACCCCTTAAGGACCAAACTTCTGGAATAAAAGGGAATCATGACATGTCACACATTTCATGTGTCCTTAAGCGGTTAAAAAGGCAATGCAAGTCAATACATAAATTGCTCCACGCATACCATCTATATGATGCGTGGAGACTACTACACACTAGCGAAAAAGCCTTTACGTTCCACTCCTCCGTGCATAATTCATACTCGCGTATACATGGCTTCCTTCTAAAGGGTCAGGCGTTAGACCAAAGGACTCAATGTGAAATTGGGGGGATATCCTGGTCCGACCATGCCTCGGTGACTCTAACACTTAAGGATGCCTATGATCCTACCCACCGCAGCCCATGGAGATTAAACAAGTTTGTCCTGAAAGACAACCCATTCACAAAAGACATAGACACACAGATGAGACTGTTCTTCTTGGCGAACATCTGGCAAACACACAAAGCAGTCATCCAAGGCTTACTGATAAGGAGGGCCTCATACCTTCGTGAAAGATCACAAACACAATTAGTGGGCTAACAAAAAGACCTCCAGGACTTAACCAGGCAGAACCAAATGACCCCATCCGCCACCCTGCAGGCCAAAATTCAATAACTAGGCAAATTAACCAACAGGCCCTAGTGAAGATGGGCCAAGGGCAACAGAGCGGGCAAGATGTTAGCAAATAAACTACAAAACCAGCAAGCGAGCACAAAAAATTGCCCACCTAATATTCAAGTAGGGAAAAAAATTATAGCTCTGAAAGACATCAGCAATGAATTTGCCAGGTACTATGCCTCGCTGTATAATCTAAAACATGACGCATCCCTCCACCAGCCGACACTCCCAGACTTAGAGCGATACCTAGACCCTCTTCCCCTGCCTAAACTAATGGAAGAACTACTCTCCTCTACAATCTTATCCGAATCCGAAGTCAACAAAGCAATACTTGCACTGCCCAACAATAAAGCCCCAGGCCCAGACGGATTCTCTAATTGCTACTACAAATGCTTCAGGAACAACCTAACCGCACATTTGACGGCAACCTTTAACAAAGCCATTGGCCTTGGTACACTTCCAGCTAGCACTCCCCAAACCCGGCAAGCCACCTACCCAGCCCCCAAACTTTCGGCCTATATCACTCCTTAACAAAGACATCAAGCTGTTTGCTAAAGTGCTAGCGGCTAGGCTGAGCATAGTCTTACCAAACATAATCGACTCGGACCAAGTGGGATTTGTCAAGAGACGCCAAGGCAGCGACAACACTAGAAAGGACATAATTTGTGGACTGCAAGGCACACAGGAGGAAGGCTTAATAATGTCCCTCGACGCAGAAAAAGCCTTTGACCGCTTGCACTGGGGCTTTATGGAAGGGGTCCTGAACAAATTTAACATCCTGGGGAGATTCAGATCGGCAGTCAGGGCCCTGTACTCTGCACCCTCTGCGAAGGTGTTAAAAGCAGGCTTCTTATCAGACCCTTTCCCCATTACGAACGGATCTAGACAGGGGTCTAGTGCTCTATGTCGTGGCACTAGAGCCGCTGGTGCTTCAAATTAGACAACATGACCAAATACACGGAATGACAATAGGGCACAAACAATACAAGGCCAACCTATTCGCGGATGACATACTTCTTACACTGACGGACCCACACACATCACTACCGCACCTGCTAACACTGATTACCACATATGGGAGACATTCATATTACAAGCTGAATGTAACCAAGACCCATGGCATGTACCTGGGGCGGGACTCGACACAGTTAGAGAGGATGTGGAAAACATACCCCTTTGACTGGAGGGAAGACTACCTAACCTTCCAGGGCATAAAATTAACTAAAAAGCTGACCTCACTGTATAAATACAACTATGAACCACTTATACAGAGTTTTACCTCCACTGTGCAGAAATGGGAGGGCTGCTTCTTATCATGCGTGGGGAGGATAGCAGCAGTAAAAATGATATTGATTCCGAAGTTCCATTACCTTTTGCGAACACTACCCATACCCCTCCCAAGCACGTTCCTTACTAAACTACAGAGAACTCTGGTCCAATTCGTTTGGAACAAGAGCAAACCCAGAGTGGCCACCACGATACTAATCAAACCCAAGCAAAAGGGAGGATTGGGTCACCCAGACGTAAAGTTCTATTACAAAGCGGCGATAATAGCCGCAATAGTACCAATGCAAACCCGGTCACACAGACCACAATGGGCAGACATAGAAGCACACTGGGCGGGACAGAGGAGCCTTGAACATTCTGTCTGGGTCCCAAGGGCACAGAGACGCTGGGCTGCCACAACCCTCTCCACGACACGTCTCACCTTTCAAGTATGGGACGCGGCGAGGGGCTCGCTGTGCATGGTCGGACCAACCTCCCTAGCCACAACACTACAGAGCATGGGCTAGACTATAGACCATGGGTCGAGTGGGGATGCACATGCTTGTACCAGCTGCTCCATGGAAACAAAATTCTACTCTTTTCGGACCTGCAGGCCAGGTTCAACTTGCCGAGTAAACTTGCCGAGTGGAATGGGGAAGAGCATTACAATTTTTATTTTATTAATTGTTTAAAAAAAAAAAAAGAATATTCCCCTTTCCCTGATCTTACCTTGCAGGAAAAGGGTGACACAATCCGATCCATGGTGGTTGAGAAGGCTGCCTATCCATCGGTTACGGGGAAGTTAACGACATGAGAGGTCTCTCTCTTGGAGCTCTAGCACTTACACAGACTGACCCATACAATCCCACAGACTGCCTGCCCACACAGACTGACCCATACACACAGACCACTACCCCACATACACAGACTGACCCATACATACACAGACTGACCCATACACACCCACACACAGACTGACCCCCACACACAAAGACTGACCCATACATACACAGACTGACCCATACACACCCACACAAAGGCTGACCCCCA